AACTTGAACCCGGGCAGCTTGGACAAAAAGCAGGAATTCCACCTGCTAGATCATAGTTGGCAAACCATAGCCTCTGAGCCAAATAGGGCCTGCTGCCTGTTTTTGTATGCTTTGCAAGGAAGGTAAGAATGTTTTTCCATGTTTAAATGGCTGAAAATATCCAAAGATGATTTTTGTGACCTGTGGAATTAAAGTTTCAGTTTCCATCAATGAAGATTGATAGGAACACGGCCTCACTCTTTTACAAATCATCTGTGGCTGCTTTCCCACTGCAATGGCAGAGCTGAGTAGATGTGACAGACACCACATGGGCACATAAAGCCTAAAATATTTACAAGCTGGCCCTCACAGAAGTAGTTTGCCAAACTCCGCACTGCACCAGGTGAAACCCTTCTGATCTGTGGTTCTCAGCTGGAGACATTTTTGCTTGCTAAAACTGGGAAGGGCACTACTGCATCTAGTGAGCCAAGGCCAGAGATGCTGTCGAGGATCTAACACATATGACAAAGAGTAATCCAGTGCACATGTCAACAAAACCATGGCTGAGAAACCCTGGGGAGATACTGTGGCCTTGGGCTGAATAAACTAAACACGTCACCCCTCCCTGGACTCCACCTCTGTGTTCAGCTTCTGCATCCCACCCTGAATGCCACTCTTGCACAGGGCTGCCCTGCGTGAGGCATGCACCATTAGGCTCTGCACGTGGCCCTTGCTGTTCCCCCCGCAGCCTTCCTTCCTTCCCACCATTGCTCTATCGTCACATGATTTTGTCTAATTCCAACTGGCACTGCCCTCTTCATCTCACCACAGGTCAGGCTGCTCTGCTCAGGCCTGCCCACCTCTCCCCTGGCTGTTGGGTTACCTCTCTTGTCTTTCAGATCTGTTAAGGACTGAACGCTTGTGTCCACTTGCCCCAAATTCCCATGTCACTCATAACTCCCAGTGTGATAGAGGATATCTTGAGGTGAGGCCTTTTAGAGGTAATTAGGTGAAAAAGGGTGGTATCCATCCTCATAAGTGAGGTTAATGCCCTATGAAGAAGAGATAGGAGAGCTCTTGCTTCTCCTCTCTCTGCTCTCTGCCAGGTAAGGACAGCAAGGCAGTTTTCTGCAGGCCAGGAAGCAGGCCCTCCACAGGAACCAAACTGCCTGGCATTTTGATCTTGGACTTCCCAGCCTACAGAACTGAGAGAAATAATGTTTTGCTGTTTAAGCCACTCGGTCCATGGTAATTTGTTGTACAAATTAACTGCAACATCACGTGTTAGGTCCTGGGCAAGAGGTGAGCCCATTCCCAGGGCTCTTCCTCACACCATCTTGACTGACCCACTCCCGACTTTTGTCCTGGAGGCTATTATTCCGTGCTCAAAGCAAAACTGAGTCGGGGTAAGGTTATTTGGAGATCTTTTCACTTCTTGTCATTGCCCTCCATCCAGAATACCAAGGCTGAAAAGCCTGATTGGGTGAGGGGCTGGGTCATTGCAAGACAAGGGGCTGCACAGTGGCCTAACTACTAGGAAGTGTGGCTTTGGCACTAGGGTGATTCACAGTATGAATCCTGCCTCAGATTCCTGGAATGGAATCTTGGACTCCTGATCCCTAGGCCTGTCTGTGCCTCAGCTTTCTAATTTGTGAGAAGGGAAGGGTGACCCTATTCCATACGGCTGAGCACTGGGTTAGAAGCTTTCTGCCAATAAACTCTCTAATCCTCCCAAGGGCCCTGTGAGGTAAATACTGGCATTATGCCCATTTTACAGGTCAAGTGTGCAAGTCACCTGAGAGGCCTCCCAGCTTTCACAACCTAACTTCCAACACCCACATATATATGGCATGGACGTCCTTACCCATGGAGACCAGCATCAGGCTTTGAACAGGATTGTGCTTCACCCACTCTAGAGTGAAGTTCTCAGCCGTGTCCTCAGATAACACGCCCCCATAATTACATATTCCTGCTGCTGCTGAAATGACCACCCCTAGGTGGTGTGGAAATGTTAAGTGGGGGCTTCTCGTTCCTTCTTATATAGGGTTCTCTGTGGTGAGTTATTCAGAGTTCCCACCCTAAAACAAGTGTGGGTCATACCCAGAAATCATATGAGAGGTATTCTTCCTGATACGAAGCCCTGAGAAGACCACAGCATCACTTCCTGCCACAGATGCATGACCTAAACCCAATCATGAGAAAACAACAAACAGACCCAAACTAAGGGTTGCTTTAAAGGCCCATAATCTTCAAAGTGTCACGGTTATGAAAATCAAATGAATTAGCGTGCTCAGGTTGCCACAGACAGAATGCTATAGGCTGGGGTGGGGGTGTTTTGTCTGTGTGTATGTTTGAGACGGGATCTGTCTATGTTGTTTCAGTGTGGCCCCGAATTCAGCCTCCCAAGTACCTAGGACCCAGGTGCACACCACCAGGCCTGGCTCTTGGGTGAAAAACAGAAACTTATTTCCTTGCAGTTCCAGAGATTAGAAGCCCAAGATCAAGGTGTCAGCAAGTTGATTAAGGTTTCATGCCGAGGCCTCTTGGCTAATAGATGCCTGTCTTCTCCCTCTTTCTGTATCCTAGCCTCCTCTTCTTATAAGGACACCACTCGTATAGGATTGGGATACATCCCAAGGACTGCATTTATCCTCAATTATACCTTTTTAAGATGCTATCTCCACATACTGTCACATATGAATGGGCGTGGCAGACAATGAATCCACATAATAGGGATGTGTGTGAGGGGGCTGCTCCATGTTAATGGAAAGAAAAAAGATACGTCAACTAAATGCAACGTATGAGCATAGATTTGATCCTGAATGACAACTGGCAAAAACAAATGAGACCTGTGGATGAGATCATACTATTGCATCAATGGTACCTTTCGTGATTTTAGTAAGTACTACACTGTCTTGGTGGCTGTTATGGACTGAATGTTTGTGTTCATCACAAATGCACAGGTTGAAAGCCTAAATTCCCATGTGGTTGCAGTTCCAGATAGGGCCTCTAAGGAATTAAGGTTAAATGAGATCAGAGGGCGGCCCTGATCTGATAGGACTGATGTCCTTACAAGCAAAGATACCAGAGCGTTCACTTGCTCGCTCTTGCTCTCTATCTCTGCATGAAGACATAGCAAGAAGGCAACCTCCTGAAAGCTAGGAAGAGTGCATTCACCCAAAACCAAATAGGAGGGCACCTTAATTGTGGACTTCCAGCCTCCAGAACTATGAGAAGTAAGTATCTGTTATTTAAGCTCTCCAGTCTAGGGTATCTTTTTGTGGGGGCCCAAGCATATTAAGAGAGTGATTGTGTGGGAGAATGTTCTTGTCCTTAGAAAATGCACACTGAGGTGTTCAAGGGCAACTATGGAAGATGTCTGTAATTAACTCTTAAATGGTTTGGAAAAAGAAATAGAGGTTGAATACCCAAAGATATCAAATATCCCAAAATCCAAAAGTCTTTCAACACTCAAAATGTTTCAAGGGCTGGGGGTGCAGCTCTCCCTATCTCTTAACCTATACAAAAATTAATTTGAAATGGATTAAAGATCTTAATGTAAGAAGTGAAACTTTTTTAAAGCTTAGTGTATATTGATAGTCCAAGGGGGTTTTGCCTTGGTATTTCAGGTCTCTATATATCGTGCTTTAATCAAATTAACCCCCTCCTATCACCATGCTCTCCTAATATTCAACAGCTTACTGTACAGTGCATTTATATTATATTCATGTATAGATGGGTTCTTTCAATATTTTTCATTTTCTAGCATTTTCTTTATCTCTCCAAACTCCAATAGCCCAAAAATGAAGGGCAGGAGGGAAAAATAAATCTTTTACAGGGGTGGGTACCAGTGGGAGGGGGGTGGACATAAGGAAAGGGGGAATGAGGGTATATATGGTGGTTGTATTTTGTATCCATATATGAAAATAGAGGAATGAAACCTGTTGAAATTGTTCTAAGAAGGGGATAAGGGGGGAAGGAGGAGAATGATGGAGGGGATAAATCCTACTATGATATATTGTAAACACATATGTAAATATCACAATGTATCCCCCTGTACAACTACTATATGCTAATAAAATCATAAAGAAATTAAAAAAAATAAGTGAAACTTTGAAACTCCTAGAGGAAAACAGGGAGAATCCTTTAAAGATACAGGCACAGGTGAAGCTTTTTTGACTTGAACCTCAATTGCTCCGAAAATAAGAAACGAAAAATGGGATTGCATCAAAATAAAATGCTTCGTCACAGCAAAAGGAACAATTACCAGAAGCAAAAGAAAGTATACATAATTGGAGAAAATCTTTGCTAGTTATTCATCAGAGAAAGGATTAATATCCAGAACACATAAAGATCAATACATAAAAATCAAACACCAAAAGAATCATCCAATTAGTAAATGGACGAATGACTCGATCAGTTTTTAAAAGAAGTACAAACGGGTAATGAAGAAATGTTCAACATTCTTAGCCATAAAGGAAATGCAAATCAAAACTACACTGAGATTCCATCTCACCCTAGTCAGAAAGGCAATCAAGAAAACAAACAACAAATGGTGGTGAGGAAGTGGGGGAAAAAGAGACCCTTATACACTGTTGGTGGGGATGTAAATTAGTGCAGCCACTGTGGAAATCAGTATGGAGGTTTCCTTAAAAATAGAGCTACCATGTGATCCTGCTGTATCACTCCTGGGCATATATTTGAAGGAATGTAAGTCAACATACAGTTGAGATACCAACACACCCATGTTTATAGCAACATTATTCTCAATAGCCAAAATATGAAATGAGCCTAGGTGCCCATCAACCGATGAATGGATAAAGAAAATGTGGCATACGTACCCAGTGAAGTATTATTCAGTCATAAAGAAAATGGAATTACATCTTTGCAGGAAAATGGATTGAACTAGAGATCATCAGGTTAAGCAAAATAAGCCAGACGAAGAAAGACAAATAGCATATGTTCTCTCTCATATGCAGAATCTAGTTCTTAAAAATAAGTGACAGCAATGTAAAACAGGTTCTGTTTGGGGATGGGTGCCAGCAGGAGGGGGAAGGGCAAAAGGAGAGGGTGAAGCGGGGTAGGTGAATATGGTTCAAGTACTTTATGGCCATGTATGAAAACAGAATGATAAAACCAGTTAAAATTGCTTTCTAAGGGGGAGAAGAGTGATAAGTAAAAGTAACAGAGGGGGTGAATTTGACTAAAGTACATTGTATGCATGTATGGCCGTATCATAACGAGACCCCTTTGTACAACTTATATTTGCTAATGAAAAATACAAAAGAAAAGTGTCAGGGACTAGGGATGGAGCACATGCTTAACAATGCATGAGGCCCTGCCTGGGTCTGATCCCCAGCACCCAATTTTCTTTGAGATTTTGGAGTATTTCAGGTGCCAGAATTTCTGATTAAGAATGCTCAACCAGTAAAGTCTATGCAGGGGGAAATCCCAAATCTGAAATGTCCAAAATCCCAAACATTTTGGATGAACGACATTCAACCTGTATTGTGTAATATATAAATAAAAGAATGCATATGTAGAGTGAGGGAGGGAGGGAGAATAAAAAAGCCAATGTGAGAAAACATTAATTGCTGGATCTGATTGAAGGGCATATGTGATCTCTGCATTATTTTGATGGAAATTATTTCTAGATCTGAAATTATTTTGAAGCAAAAGGTTTAAACATTTCAATGATCTTGTTTGTTCCTTCAGGACACAGGATCGTTAGGAATCAGAGCAATATTATCGACCAGTAATATTCACAGAACTTTCCCAATCTGTGGTTAGGTTTGCTTGACCAAAGGATGTCTCCTGGGCTGGGGGTGCAGGTCAGTGGCAAAGACCTTGCCTAACATGTGCAAGGCCCTGGGTCTGATCCCCAGCGCTGTAAGAAAAACAAAAGGCTACCTCCTTACATGGGCACAATATAGGTCCTTTCTTTTTAGAGCACTCTGAGGCTCCCTCCCTTCACTATCTCTGTAGTCCTGTGTCTATATGACAAGTGGCTTATCATCATTTTAAGATGAGGCTGTCACACCTGAGAGTGGGTCACCAACACTGCAGACTGCTAAGGAAGGTCAATGCACCAAAGTTCATCCAAGGCGCTGGAAACCACATCCCTGTTCCCCAATGGCATGAATGACTGAGCTCTCTCTTTCCTTTGTGTGACAGACAAACATGAGCCTCGAGTCATGGTCACCCCAAACATGAGGACTTAGGATACTTCCTCTTATTGCCTCTTCCCTCCATCTTACACAAACAAAAAGTCCAAAGCCCTGCCCCCAGCCCCCACCTGTCACACTGTTCCCTTTTCTGTGGCAGGCAGAGCTCAAAGTCTCCAAGACACTGGCAGAGCCACCTGGTAGAGCTTGCATGCTCAGGACTCCCGAGTGAGCTTGGCCAGTACTAGCAGCAGCAGGCTGGCTCCCAACTTGTGTGTCACAGTGAACCTTTCCAGTTACTACTTATTTCTATGGCCACTTTCCATACCAAATCCAAAGTTTTCTGTGATTCCTAACAAGTAGGGTAGCCACATGCCTGTTCCACCTCCAGTGACTTCCCAGTCTGTTCTCAGGGGTGATACCCACCCCCATGAAGGGGACTTATCTCTTACAAATCATCTTAGATGGGCCTCCCTTCTCCAAGCACCCCATACTTTCACATCTCCTTAACCATGTCCACATCTAGGATCTTGTCCTAGGACTTCTTCATCTCTAAGGTCATTCTCCTGAATCCTTCCCACTGTAAGAACCAGCTCAAAATAACATTACTGAGGTGCTATGACAGCAAGCTCCTGTCTATCTCTGCACTGACCATATCCAACTTCAGGTCACTAGGATTGCTTCCCTGTTCTCCCACCTCCATGAGATCTGAGGACTGAGACCACGCCAGGTCCTCATCTCTCAGACTTTAAAAATTGTTTGCCTATGATTCTCCAATGACTTGGAATAAGAATAGCCAATTCCTGGGAAGTGACCTATTCCTTGCCATTGAATGCTCACTGCTTCTGTGAGGCTGGCCAAAGGCCCACAAGGTCTGCCCTAAAAGCTAAAGAGCTAGAGAGCAGAAGCCTGGGTCTGCCCCTCAGCTACCTGACTCCTTCACCTGAACCACCATCAACACCTCCACTGCAGTGAATGCTAAGCACAGAAAGGATAGAACAGTAGGCAAAGCCATTCTTGGCTCCTCCTGTCTCTTGGCCATGTTAACCACACTGGCACATCAGGCAGGTGCCACAGCTTATGGAGAATGACAGGCTCTTCTCAGTGCAGGCTTCACTGGCTCTTCCTTGTTCATGTAGCCTAACCCAGGAATTCTCATTTTCCAGATGACAACAAGATTGACCTGTGTGAAGAAGAGCAAGGCAGGTGTCTTAGTCTGGTCTCGCTGCAATAACAAAACCCCACAGACTGGGGTACTGTTCAATACGTGAAACTTACTGCTCACTTCTCTGGAGGCTGGGAAGTCCAAATCATGGACCAGCAGATTCTGAGTCTGTGAGGACTTGCTCTCTGCTTCAAAACTGGTGCCTTGTTGCCTGCCACACCTTCCAGAAGGAACAAAAGCGGTGTCCTTATAAGGTACAAGGGGTGGAAGAGCAAAAGGGTTAAATTGTGTCCTCTCATGGTGAAAGGGGCAGAAAGAGCAAAAGGGAGGGACAAACTCTCCCTCAAGGCCTTTATAAAGGGCATTAATCATCCCCCACCGGCCTACTTCCTAATACCATCACCTTGGGGGTTAAGCGCTAACCTAAAAATTTTGCAGCCACACACACACATCAAACCAAGCAGCATGGAAGCTGTTGCTCTGGGTTTTTCACACATCAGGATGCCAAGTGCCTGTGAGGGAGAACTGTGACACAAGGCTTGGAACCAGCAAAGAGGAATGTGGAGCTTACTGGTCTGAATGGAGGTCTATGCACAGAGGAAGACAAAACAGGCACCGAACAGAGGGAGTGGACCCTAGTCATAGACTTTGAACAGTTATTGTGTGTAGTTTAAAGATCTGGTTGAGGGTTTTTTTTTTCTTTTCTATTCCTCTGTATGACTGAGGTAGATACTGTTGGGGCTTTGCTCAGATACACTGTGTGGGGCCAGTGTCCTGTCCCCACTTATGGCTAGCATCACCTGCTAAGGTCCTTCCTCCAGAAGACTGCCCTTGGCCAACAGAAATCACCTAACCAAAAATGCCCTCCCCCTGCACCCCTGTTCCCAATGGCAGGGAGCACCCGTGGCCACAAACAGTGAGCACACCCAGTCCAGATCCCTGGTCTGAAGTTGCATCAGTTCTGTGGCATCCTTCATGCTCCACATCATCCCATGGATCAGGCAGAGTGAGACCATTCCTGTACCAAAATCACAACCTTGCTAGGCTTCTTAGCCTGCCCTACTCTCAGCTTCCCTTACTCTTGCGCACAGATCTCCCAATGGCTCTCACTCACAAAATCACCCCGACAAGGATTCCTATGTCAGACCTTCATTCTGCAGAACTGGCCTAAAACAGTAAGCAAGCACAACTCTGCAATGCTTTGCATCCATGTGAGAGTCTGTGTGCACAGGTATGCAGGTGCACGTGTGTGAATAAAATAGGGCACATGCTTTTAGGTTTCTAGAAAGTCTGGCTTTATCTCTCTACATCTCTGCCACCTGCTCCAGGCATGCTGCCCTTCAATCACCACACAAGTTCCTACCTCAGGGCCTTTGCACTTGCTGTTCCCTCTGCCTGGAATGCCACACCTTCCTGCGTGGCTCATCCCCTCACCTCCCTCAGGTGTTTTCTCCAATCTCTGTTTCTGGTGAGGCTGTCCCCTTCCACCATTTACAACGTCCCTATATTCTTTCCCCCTTCCTGCTATATGTATCTCCATAGCAAAAGACAACAAAAGAAAGTACAGGAGATACACAAATGCATGGAGACTGAAATGAATGATCAGTGGGTCATCAAAGAAATAAGGAGGGAAATCAAAACATTCTTGGAAGCAAATGAAAATGAAATCACAGCTTACCAGAACTTTTGGAACACAGCAAAACCCAGTGCCAAAGGGGCAGTTTATAGCTCTGAGTGTCTGCTTAAAAAAAAAAAAATCAGAGATCTCAAATAAATAACTAATAATACAGCTCAAACTATCAGAAAAAGAAGAAGAAACCAAACCCCAAATTCATAGGCAGGAAGAAATAATAAAGATCAGGGCAGAAATGAGTGAACTGGAGGGGGAAAAACCCAAAGGACAAATGCAAAAAAAAAAAAAGCAAAAAAAAAAATACAAAAAAAGTTGTTTCTTGAAAAGATAAACAAGATTGACAAACTCTTAGTGAAACTAATCAAAAGAAAGAGGTAAAGGACTCAAATTAATAAAATTAGAGATGAAAATAGGGACATCACGACAAATGCCAATGAAATTCAGAGGCTCATTAGGGAATAATTCAAAATTTTCTGTTCTAATAAGCTGGAAATTCAAGATGAAACGCATAAATTTCCAGATGCATGTGACCTGTATAAATTGACCCAACAGGATATTAAACACTTAAACAGATCTATCGTAAGCAATGAGATTGAAAGAGTAATAAAGATATTCCCAACAAAGAAAGCTCATTAACAGATGGACTCACTGATGAATTCTACCAGACTTTGAAGGAAGAAAAAACAGCAATGCTCCCCAAACGATTCCATGAAATAGAAAGGGAATACTACCAAACTCATTCTCTGAAGCCAGTATTACCCTGATACTAAACCCAGACAAGGACACAACAAAAAAGTTATAGAACAATTTCCTTGAAAAACACAGACACAAAAGCTTTTCAATAAATTATTGCAAATTGAATTCAACACTAAATTTAAAAGATCATACAGCATGATTGAGCTGGTTTCTTTCCAGAGATGCAAGGATGGCTCGACATTTGCCAATTGGTTAACATAATATAGAACATAAACAGAGTAAAGTACAGAAATCATGCGATCATCTCAATAGAGGCAGAAAACACCTTTGACAAAATTCAAAAATCCCTTCATGATGAAAGCCCTGAGAAAACTGCAAATGGAGGGAATGTTCTTAAATATATTAAAGGCTATATAAAACAAACCTGCAGCCAACATCATGTTAAACAAGGAAAAACTGAAACCATTTCCCCTGAAGTAAGGAACAAGACAAGGTGTCTACTCTCCCCACTCATACTCAACATATTGCTTGAAGAGAAGAACTAAAGGGATACAAATAGTAAAGGAAGAAATCAAATTACCCCTATTTGCAGAGGACGTGATCCTATACTAAAAGACTCTAAATGCATTACCAGAAAACTCTTCGATCAGATGAAGACTTTTGGTAAAGTAACAGGATACAAAATCAACATGCAAAAAATCAGTAGCTTTTCTACATAACAACCACTAACAGCTTGAGAATGAAATCAGGAGGAAAAAAAATCCCATTCACAATAGCTTCAAAAAACAAAAACAAACCCCTGGGAGTAAGTCTAAAGTGAAAGACCTATAGAATGAAAACTGTATAAAACACTGAAGAAAGAACTTGAAGAAGACACTATAAAATGGAATGACCTCACATGTTCATGGATCAGCAGAATTAGTATTGTGAAAATGGTTATACTACTGACAGCAATTGAGAGAGTCAATGGAATCGCCAAACAAATCCCAATGTCAGAAATAGAAAAATCAACTCTAAAACTCATATGGAAGCACAATAGACACCAAATGAGCTCAAAGAACAATGCTGGATTTATCACAATACCTGACTTCAATTATACTCTACAGTGCTACTGGCACAAGAACAGACTTGCAGACAAACAGAACAGAACAGAAAACACAGAAATAAACCCAGACAGCTATAGCCACCTGATTTCTGAGAAAGGAGCCAAAAACATAGTATTGGAGAAAAGTCAGCCTCTGACAAATGGTGTTGGGAAAACTGGATATCCACATGTAGAAGACTGGAACTAGACCAGACCCCTATCTCTCACCCTGTACAAAAACCAATTCAAAATGGATCAAAGATCTTAATGTAAGACCTGAAACTAAAAATAAATAAATAAATAAATAAAAAATAACTCTGAAACTGTGAAGCTACTACGGAAAAACACTTAAGACACAGGCATAGGTAATGACTTTCTGGATAAGACTCCAGTTACTCAAAAATAAGAGCAGGAATTAACAAGTAAGACGGCATCAAATTAAAAGGATTCTGCACATCGAAGGAAACAATTACCACGATGAAGAAATAACTCATAGAACTGGAGAAAATCGCACAGTGCAGTGGCTTAAGTCTCTAATCCTAGGTACTCAGGAGACATGGCCTCATGGACTGAGGCCAGCCTGTGAAAAATTTCACAAGACCCCACCTCAACCAATGGCTGGGCACAGTGGTTCATACCTGTATTCCCAGCTATGTGGGGAAGCACAAATAGGAGGATCATGCGGTGCAGGCCAGCCCGGGGCATTAAAGCAGATAAATGATGGGAGAGTCCAGTTAACTTTGAAATTGCCCCATTCCCATACCACTGAAAGTATTAGAAGCCATCATGTTTCACATGAAATAAAGTTGAAAGGGTGGCTACCCTCAAACCAGGTGGGAGTCCCAATACCTCTCTGGCTGACAAAACAGATTAGACTGTACAAAGGGACACTGAGCACTGACTGCTACAATAAGCAATTTTATGGTGTGTGTGAGACACACACATGTGCATACATGGGCTATGAGAACAAGAAGGGCACCACTGCACCAACTGCCCATTCTCTAGCTCCTGAGGCAGAAGGGAAGAGAAACAGCCAGACAACTGTTCTTCTGAGCATTTCAGTGTCCGGTAACCTGTCCTCATGTCCTCATTTCCACCTGTAGGTGACAGTGAATGGAGCTCTGCAGCTCAAAGGATTCAAGAACATGTGACCTAAACGGAAGCTTGAGTTCACCAGCTTCTTTGCCCATGGCTGCCCACACTACCGTCGCATGGCCCTCCAAGCTCAACCTTTAATATACCTTCCCTTTCCCTGTCCCGGCATCTGATCAGTGGCTGGTTCCCATTAACCCTGCCCTGTCCCCTGCTCTCTCCTCACACTTAAGGCTATGGCCTCCGCCACCTCAACTGCACTTCTCACAAAGCTTCTCTAGACTCCTGACCCTCCCATGATCTATTTTCCAAAGACAGTGCGGCCGGTCTCTGGAGGAAAGCTTGTACCTTTCCCCTGGTGGCCCAGAACACTTTCCTTGTTCCACAGGCCTGCTACACAGAACTCCATCCAAACCCAGCCCGGTATTCAAAAGCCCTACTCACCCCAATTCCCCCAGTCTCTCAGAGCACCTCACGCACAGTAGGTGCCTTGTGGACCTTTGTGACATTGCTCTGGATTACCACTCACCTGTAGAAAAATCAAAAGGAAGAGAGCAGACATTTGCTGAGCATCCAGTTACAGGCAATGGAAAAGGTTTATCTACAAGTTGAATTTCCTTTCAGCATACACTTCACCATTTCTGTGTCTTCAGATGGAAAAGGCAAAAACAAAGGGAAAATAGTTATGGTAAAAGTTCTTTTAACACAAGGCCAGCAAGTAACATCACGAAGTAGCTACAAGATCACAACAGGTTTCCTTCAAAACAATGATCACTACAAAGTGGCCATTTTCAAACGGCACTGTTCTTTTTCAAATCCAAAGAACTATCTCTCCAGTCATGGGTCAACTGCAGATTACCAGACAGGCCCGGTGTGAAGCATGTTTCACAACAACATCCACTAATTCTATTAACTAGAATATTCTACTGACCAGAAAATCCCACTCCCTATGATGCTGTGTACCCGCCAATACACGGCCAACTCATCATGAATTGAAGCCTCTAAAACTGGGAGCCAAAATAAACCTTTTCTCTTTATAAGTTGCTTACCCTGGGCTTTTCTTATAGTAACAGAACGCTGACTGACACTATTATGGTTGCCTGCCACCAGACAGAGTCAACCCTCTGTAAAGGGTCCCAATTCCAAAGCCTCTAAAATGTCTGACATTTAATTTAAAACAGTATACATGTCGAGAACCTAGATCAAGACAAAAATAAAAAGCACAATGAATACTGGCCTTCAATTGACCATAATTCTGGACTTATTATACGTTGACTTTAAACTAACATGAAATTAATACGCTCAAGTTAAGAGAGGGCAAGACGGAAAGTATCACTGGAAAATTAGAATGTATGTTTTGCGAATACACACAAAAAGTCTGTTGTCAAAAAATAAACAGAAAGGAAGCAATCAACAAACATGGTTTTAGTACCTGACTAGAAACAAGTTACAAGTATATTAGTGAGCAGGAAGATCAAGCAACAGAAAATATCGTGATTGAATTACAGAGAGCAACGAGAATGGAAAGCAAAGACAAAAAAGAGAGCAAAGGCAGACATTGGTACAGGCAAGGATTTTCTTTTTTTTTTTTCTTTTATTATTCATATGTGCATACAAGGCTTGGGTCATTTCTCCCCCCTGCCACCACCCCCTCCCTTACCACCCACTCCGCCCCCTCCCTCTACCCCCCACCCCCTCAATACCCAGCAAAAACTATTTTGCCCTTATCTCTAATTTTGTTGAAGAGAAAGTATAAGCAATAATAGGAAGGAACAAGAGTTTTTGCTGGTTGAGATAAGGATAGCTTTACAGGGAGTTGACTCACTTTAATTTCCTGTGTGTGTGTGTTACCTTTTAGGTTAATTCTTTTTGATCTACCCTTTTCTCTAGTTCCTGGTCCCCTTCTCCTATTGGCCTCAGTTGCTTTTAAGGTATCTGCTTTAGTTTCTCTGCGTTAAGGGCAACAAATGCTAGCTAGTTTTTTAGATGTCTTACCTATCCTCACCCCTCCCTTGTGTGGTCTCGCTTTTAGCATGTGCTCAAAGTCCAATCCCATTGTTGTGTTTGCCCTTGATCTAATGTCCACATATGAGGGAGAAAATACGATTTTTGGTCTTTTGGGCCAGGCTAACCTCACTCAGAATGATGTTCTCCAATTCCATCCATTTACCAGCGAATGATAACATTTCGTTCTTCTTCATGGCTGCATAAAATTCCATTGTGTATAGATACCACAGTTTCTTAATCCATTCGTCAGTGCTGGGGCATCTTGGCTGTTTCCATAACTTGGCTATTGTGAATAGTGTCGCAATAAACATGGGTGTGCAGGTGCCTCTGGAGTAACCTGTGTCACAGTCTTTTGGGTATATCCCCAAGAGTGGTATTGCTGGATCAAATGGTAGATCAATGTCTAGCTTTTTAAGTAGCCTCCAAATTTTTTTCCAGAGTGGTTGTACTAGTTTACATTCCCACCAACAGTGTAAGAGGGTTCCTTTTTCCCCCGCATCCTCGCCAACACCTGTTGTTCGTGGTGTTGCTAATGATGGCTATTCTAACAGGGGTGAGGTGGAATCTTAGTGTGGTTTTAATTTGCATTTCCTTTATTGCTAGAGATGGTGAGCATTTTTTCATGTGTTTTTTGGCCATCTGAATTTCTTCTTTTGAGAAAGTTCTGTTTAGTTCACGTGCCCATTTCTTTATTGGTTCATTAGTTTTGGGAGAATTTAGTTTTTTAAGTTCCCTCTATATTCTGGTTATCAGTCCTTTGTCTGATGTGTAGCTGGCAAATATTTTCTCCCACTCTGTGGGTGTTCTCTTCAGGTTAGAGACCATTTCTTTTGATGAACAGGCAAGGATTTTCTAAATAGGACCCAAAAAGTCACAGAAAACAAAAGCAAAACTTGACAAATAGAATTACCTCAAGCTAAAAACAGAAACAGTCAAAGGAGTGATGAGACAAGCCACAGAATGGGAGAAATCTTCGGCAGCTATTCATTGGACAAAGGATTAATATCAATAATATATAAAGAACTCAGAAATCTCAATGACAAAGACCCAAATAAACCAATTAAAAATCAGCAAATGATCTGCACACACACCTCTCAAAAGAAGAAACCCAACTGGCCAAAAGACATATGAAAAAATTCTCAGTAACATTAGCCATCAGGGAAATGAACATCGAAACCACTTGAAACCACAATGAGATAACATCTCCCCCTAGTCAGAGTGGCTATTAAACACACACACACAGAACCTAAAGCTGGCGAGGATATGGAGAAATAGGAACCCTTATATGATATTGATGGGTTTGTAAATTATTGGTGGGAATGTAAATTAGTACAGGCAGTATGGAAAACAGTGTAGAGGTTCCTCAACAAACTAAAAACAGATGTACCATATATATGATTCAGCTATTCCATTCCTGGATACGGATTCAAAGGAAATGAAACAAGCATATGAAAAGAGAGACCTGCACACCCATGTTTACTGTGGCACTATTCACAAGAGCTAAGATATGGAATCAGCCTAGCTGCCCAGAAACAGATGAAACTAAAAAGAAAATGTGGTATATACATATAACAGAGTTTGGTTATGTTTAGTCACAAAGAAGAATGAAATCCTGTCATTTGCAATTTTTGTTGCTGGAGGATATTACATTAAGGGAAACAAGCCAGATACAGAAACACTAATACCATAGGTTCTCTCTCAGGTGTGGAAGCTAAAACGCCAAAAAGTAAAATAGTGGTTACTAGATAATTGGGAAGGGATTGGAGGTGGACGGATGGTAGATAAAAGGAGGTTGGACTTGATGAGTGTATAGCATATGCAAGCATAGAAATATTACACTGCATCCCATTCATATGTACAATTAATTTGTGTTAATGAAAATAGATAAATAAGACATTCTTAAGAGGTAACTAGGGCACACGATGAAGAGGTCCACATATAGCTAACTGAAGCTACAGCAAGGGAGAAGTCTACTGCCAAGCGCTGGTGACAATGTGCAAAAATGGGAACTTCCCTGACCTGCTAGAGGGAGTGTCAAATGGTGCAGCCATGTAGAAAACAGTGTCTTAGGCCACACAGGTTACTAAAACAAAACAGACCGACGCACAATAGAAACTATTGTGCATTGAGGTGCCCAAATAATGTATACACATGTAAGTAAGTGTAAAAACGATAAAAAAGAGAAATTAATTGCTCAGTTCTGGAGGCTGAGAAGTCTAAGATCAAGTTGCTGGCAGATTCAGTATCTGCTGAAGGCTGCTTCTTTAGCCCTGCTCCAAATCATCTGACAGGCCTAGATCTTACCGGCCTTACGTGACATGTTCACCAAACCATCCACAGGCCATCCTCCCTTCCTGCAACAAGTAAGAGACCCAACTTGTTCAACCACAAGTGTGTTCTTGGTGACCTCTGGCTGGAGGGCTGAGACAATGATCATGTTCTATTCCTTAAAATATTCCTAAAAACTTACATGGATGTTTCCATCGTGCTATGTACTTATGATCTGGGTTCTTTTATGTATGAGGCTTAATACCTTCATAAACGTTTTACTTAAGAGAAGCAACAGTACAACAAATGTTACATGGCAAGTTACCTACTGCATTAAAAAAAAACCTCCTTAATAAGGAAAGCATTTAACGAGTATTGTGCCATGAAGTGTTCATGTAACAAACCATTTTTGAACTCCTATTATATCTCGGGGTTTTCCTGGGTGTTGGAGGCACAGAATTGCAGAACACACATTTCTTGTCCTTGGGAGAGGGGGGTCTGTGGTCAGGTAGCATGGACATCTAAATGCTGCAAAGTTACAGAAAAGCTGTGAGAAAGGTGCATTGTGCCCGGCAAGTTGATCTGGAAGAGGCACCTTCAGATGGACTCATTAGGAAGGACAGAGCACATGTGATGGGTAAACATGGTGGGTAACTGTAAACAGCTGGGAATGAGGCAACGGTCAAGCAGAGGGTGAGAGTGGGCTACTAGGCCACAGACTGAGGTGAGGCAGGACAGGGAATGAAGGTGGAGACTTTCTATTTGTCAGTGAGGAACTGTGGGCATCTTGGATGGGATGATTCCACATTGAGCAGACCTACCTCCCACACTGCAGGAGACTCCATATCCCTGCAACTATCTGACCAATGACTTCACTACAGTTCAGCCTAGGGACAACTGAAAATGCCTCTTCACATGTCCAAACAAGTACAGGTAACGACTATGGGGAGCCAAATAGGCCCTTCTGGGTCACTGAAACTGTTCAATTTCTTGATCACAGTGGTGTGTACACTTTCCTGGATAAATGCAATATTTCAACAAGAAAAGTTTACTGAAAAATAAGGTGGGAAACAGCTTAAAGGAACATGTAGAGTGAGATTTATATTATTAAACAAATATTCTGGGAAAACAAGGGTAAAAATGTTAGCTAAACATCCTCCTCCAGAAGTTATGCAAATAACAAAATGATTTTAAATAGTATAAAAAAGTGAAAGTCAATGAGATTCTTTCTGCTTTAAAAAAACTGTAATTGCCTTTTAAACAAGGTCTCCCTATACTGTCCAGGCCGGCCTTGAACTCATGATCATCCTGGCTCACCCTCCTGAGTTCTGATATTAAAGGCATGCACCACAACGCTGAGCAAGGTTCTTCCTAAAAAGAAAAAAACCATATCTTACAAATGACCAAACCATCACTAAAAGAATTTATTCTAAAGAGGCAGAATCTATAGACTACTCAAATCTGCTAAAAAGCGAAAGTAAGACAATATTAAAGCAAAGAGATTCAGAAATGAGGAAGGGAGCATCATTAAGACATCGAGAGGGGATATTTAAATGATGAGAACACAATGTGAATTGTAAGACACAGACATAAAACGTGGAAACAAAAAAATTTTTTTTTGGTGAAGACAGAACCCCTTAGGGCTCCATGCCTGGTAGGCAAGTGCTCTACCACTGAGATAACACCCCATCCTATCCTACACATTTTATTTTTAATGCATGAACTTACCACATGGGCAAAGGGATGAGGGAAAGAGATGTCAGAGAGATGTGAGAGCACAAAATATTTCTGGAAAATACAGGAGTGAGCACAGATCCAGCTGAGCAAGTGAAAATGTGGCCCCTTGCCCCAGCAGAAGTCCGAAGGGCACAACTCAGAGGGGTACCAGGTTCTCTGGAGCGCAGGGATCTGGTGTGGGTAGGCAGCAAGCCCACATGCAAGCAAAACAAAGCCATGGAGGCAAAGGACAGAACAGTGGCTGCCTGGGAGGGAGCAGCAGAGAGCTGGAAATGTTCTATATCCTGAGATGGGTGATTGTTACATAAGCTGTCCACTGAGATTGTGTGCTTTACTGCATGTACGCTAACACTTTAATAGAGAAGGGAAAATTGAGACAGGTATGTGCCTGTAATCCCCAGCACTTGGGAAGCTGAGACAGGTTGGTGAGTCCAAGGCCAGACAGGGCTACATAACAAGACCCTGCCTCACAAAGAAAAAGGAAAGCAGTTTGTTGAACACCTACCACCAGCTGGGTGCCTCCTGTGTGTTGCACATGTATCTCACTCCTTCACCTACAGAATTTCAGCTACTGCATTTTTAAAAAATTTTAACTGATACATAAAACATTAAAACGTACATATTTATGGGATAGCATGTGACATTTCATACATGTATGCAGCGTATAATGTTTAAATTGGGCAAAACAGGTCTGTCTCTACAAATATTTATCATTTCTTTGAGGGTGAAACTTTTCAAAATCCTTTCTTCCAGCTTTCTGAAATGGACAGTGGATTACTGTTATCTAGAGTCACCTCACTGTTCAATAGCACCTCTACAGGATTCCTATTTACTTCCGCTCACTCTCTTTCCAAGACAGGAAATATTTCTAGGTCTTTCCTCTCCCCTCCTCCCACCCCCTTTCTCATACAGGACTTCTAGGTGCCTCCTCTCCACCTATCTTCCCGTACCCTCTGTCTTATTCCATGTTCCTTCCTCACAACATTCCTTCCAAACCCCCTTATCATCCAGGACCATACCATTCTTTCCTCTACTCACTCTTCATAGCCCCTTGCTCTCAAAGGACATCTGCATCCCCTCCCACCTCTTTCATTCACAGGAAGGAGGCAGGCAAGATTCTCCCATCTGCTGCCCTCCCCATCTCCACACTTCTTTCTTCACATAGCACTTCTGAGATCACACCTTTCACCCTTATCCCTCTCTCACCTGCAGGAGCAACCCAGCCTTCCCTGCCACCAAGATGCCCAGGCTGGCTCTCACTCCTACAGAGCCACTGCTCTGTCCAGGCGGCCATCCTTCACCAGCTCTCCTCCCATCCAACTCATCACTTCTCTCTGGTGTAGTCCCCTCATTGTGTGTCTTCCTGCCAGCCCCCCTCACTGAGCAGACTCACCTTGGCCTGTGCTCGTAGGATTCGCACTCACCTTCTCACTGCCACAGAGCTGTTTGGTCATCTCAGGGCAGACTTGACCGGCATGTTTTTGGTAGTTTTAGCTAAATTTGAAAGGTAAGACATTTAAACAACTGCCATAGATACGGGGGAGGGGGGTGTCGCAGTTGGGCAGGGAGGATCATGGGGCCCATTTGGTGGTCTTTAGGACAGAGCTAGAAGGCTTCTAGGGCTGCTCATGCAGTACCAGAGGATGGGTGAGACAGTTTCATTATCAATATTGAAGATTTGAGCTAAAAAAGATTAAATTAGGAAATGTTACAATTAGTAACCATCCTGCAGGGTACAGTGCACAAGCCTAAGGATCTAAGGGCTGTTTTGGATGGGCATACAGGGTGGGCTGAAGGATCAGAGCACAAGTCGAGGGAAGAGTCTCAAGGTTGGTCAAGAGTATTATGAGGTGGGACTATGGATTTAGAAGGTAGGATGAGGTGGAATGGTTATCAAGATAATGATTGGTATAAATATTGAGGGCTCCCAATTCTGGATTTGGGGGCCTCAATGTGATCGGAGGTGCCCCAGGACAATCTGGTGATGGCATTACAAATCTGGCAACAAAGGGCTGGTCTAAGACCAATTAATAAATGGGCAAATGAAGTGAACAGACAGTTCTCAGACAGTTCTCAAAAGAAGTACAAACTGCCAATAAATACATGAAGATGTTCAATATCCTTAGCCATAATGCAAACCAAAATGACATGCAGATTACAAAATGACATTACAGATACTGCATGTTCTCTTTCATATGTAGAATCTAGACCTTAAAAAAAAAAACAGTGACACGGGGGGGGGGGGAGAGGGGGGATGCGGTTGTGTGATATTTGGGAGTGGGAAACAGTGGGAAGGGGGAGGGTGAAGGGGAGTAAACGTGATCAATGGACTTTACAGGCATGTATGAAAATAGAACAAAACCCGTCTAAAAGAAGGGGTAAAGTGGGGCAAGAGAAAGTAATAGAGGGGGTGAGTTTGATCAAAGTACACTATATGCATATACGGAAAAGTCACAACGACGCTAATGAGAGAGAAAAGGGGGCTGGTTTAGACACCTAGAGCACATTCACAGTGTTTTGAAAGTCTCAGCTAAAGGAATAAGAAAATGAAATGCGTAACACAAATTCAGGGGGGAATCCAGTGCTGCTCTGTGCCTACTGGAAGAGTGGGCGAGGAGACATGTTTTTTAAATTTTACTCATTTATTTTGCGGTATTGAGGTTTGAACTCAGGGTTTTGAGCTTGCTATGCAGACGCTGTACTGCCTGAGCTATGCCTCCAGCAAGAAATCACTATTCATATTGTTAGAGAGGATTTAGGTACACGAAGGAATAAAAGAGAAAGCTGGGGTGAGTGCTCAGTACCCCCAGTTTCAGGCATTGCTCATCTCCGCGTTAGACAGGCCTGAGAGGAGTCAATGTAGTGTGGCGTTAGGGCCGCATGGTAGTATCACCACATCTGGCTGATCTTCTGATTGGTCTTGTCTCATTCCGTACTCAGAATCTAGACCTTAAAAAAACAATGACAGGACTGGAGGCGTGGCTCAAGTGGTAGAGCACCTGCCTAGCAAGTGAAAGCTCCTGAGTTCAAACCCCAGCTCCACCAAAAAAAAAAACAACAAAAAACCACAATGACAAAATGGGGCGGGGGGGGCGGGGTGGCTGTTGTGTGATATTTGGGAGTGGGAAGGAGGAGGGTGAAATGAGAGAGTCATCCAAGCCATCCAAGGTCATGCCATCCACTCCACAGCCAGGGCAGAAACTGCACAGTGTCAAAATGGGTCCATGGCTGGGGAAGCACTCACGCCATCCCAGGTGTTCCTGGAGGGCAGACTGGCAAGCAACAGGCTGTGAAAGCTGTGAGAGAGTGTGGGGGGTGGGGTGAGGGTGGGGGGGAGGTCAGGAGAGAGGTCCTGCGAAAAGTGTTTCCTGCACCACCTTCCTGGGACTGATAAAATGCGGATTATGATAGTACTCACCTGCCCCCTTGTTAGGACGACAAAATGCGCTGAAGCAAGAAAAGCACTTGGCCCAGTGCTAAGGACCTAAGGCCGAATGCTAACTGTTACTATTTGGGTCACAAGCCTAACTCCCTCCAATCAGGATGGCCCGTTGTCATCAGGAAAATCTCGTAACTCCTTTTTCTTAGGCTCGCAGCCTAGTTCAGGCTCTACGTTCGTGCTCAGGTAGTTCGTCCTCACTGCCACCCTACAAATGGGCAAACCGAGGCACAGAGAAGGAAAGCACTAGCTAGGCACAAACGCCAGGGATCCGGCTCTTTAACACCATAACTTGAGATCCTGAAGGTGAGCGACCCCCAAAGCGCAGGCAGCCGCGGCTCTGGAAACACCTGCAGGTAAAGTAGCGCATGCTCACCTCCCGCTCTGGGGGCATCCCGCCCACCACGCTCCCGAACATCCGCGTACTACGTAAAACGTTCTCATGCCCCGCCCTTCACGTAGAATGCCCCGCCCTTCACGTAGAATGTCCCAACCCACCAAGTGAAACGCCGCTAAAGCCCCGCCCCACACGCACAACGTCCCACCCACCAGGAGAAACCCCCGGAGGCCCTGCCCAGCACGTAGAACGTTCTACATGTCCCGCCCTCTGTGGCCTACGGCGGTCCACTCCCTACGAAGCTCCGGCATAAGTTACTCTGCACGTTTATGTGAGCAAAAGTACAGTGCTCGGGTCAGTCAGACCCTGGCTGGAACCCAGGCTTAGCCACCCCCAGCCCCAAGAATGGGCTCACCCCTGAGTTTCTGGCCGCCGTCAGACCTCTGAGCACCGCCCTTGCCTCCGATCCTCTGAGATGGGGCGGGCCTGAGTGGAGCCAAGCTGACCAATAGGGGATGGGAAGGGCGGTGCTTTACCGAATCAGATGAGCTCTTAGAAAGTCGTAGACTGACTTGTGGAGACCAGCGGAGAGAATGGGAAGGTTGGAGACTATGAGGACCCTGTAGGGAGCCCGTGGGGAGCGGTGGCTTGCGGATAGGAAGGAGTGACTCACAAGTGGAATCTAAGGCAGGAGTGGAGCCATAAGTGTTTGTAAGGTGAGCCACACGGATGCAGCCCTACGTGTGTAATGAATGGCAAGGGTAGCTCAGCAATTGGGAATCCCCAGTAACAGATGATAGACAAGAGTGAGTCTCAGGACATCATTAATAGGGAGAATAATGGAGGGGACGAACCAAACCGGGGTACAATGTATGTACACACGGAAATGTCACAACGAAATCCCCTGTACAACTATCATATACTAATAAAAACGCTTAAAAAGACAAAAAAGAAAAGAAAAGAAAAGAAAGCAGTAGTCACTGAAAAGGGCTGTCAGGTGGGGAGCGCTTAACATGGTAACTTCAGGCTGCTGCATGACATTGGGAAAAGCAATGTTTCCTATTAACATTGGAATTGCCCTATGCATGTCTGGCGTTCCTGCCTCCCTAACAGCAAGATTGCCTTTCTTACTCTGTGTTGATGTTCACTTTTTCTGTCCCAGGGACGTTTTTACTCTTTCACTTCCCACCCTACTTTTTGACCAAACGCAGGCGAGGTCAACCATGGTACGTAATTCTTTCTGTGAAATCCAGATGTTCACATCGTCCGAGTTGCAATGATCTAAAGACAGTTTGGAGAACATAATCCGCAGTTGGACAAATGTCTGTTCTTTATATTCCTTCACTACCAGTTTAGTGTTGGATCATTTGACAGGACAGTCAATTGACTTTGAAAAAGATTGCTGAGAGTATTAAATGGGAAAATACTAGTCAGTTTAACAAATGATATTGGGGCAAGTGGGCATCCATAGGTAAAGGAAGGACATTGAAAACCTACCTTTCAATATACACAAAAATAAACTCAAGTTGTATTTTAAGTCTAAACGTGAATGCTAAAATGATAAGACACTAAGAAGTAAGTGAATGAGTAAATCTCTGTGGTCTTTTGGTAGGTAGTGTTTTTTTTTAGATGTGACACCAAAAGCACAAACAGCAAAAGAAAAAAAAAATAGATGAGCGGACTTCATTGTGACTGACAGTTTTTGTTCTGAAGAGGAAAACACCAAAAAAGAAGTGAGAAAAATGGGAAAAGTATTTGAAAATCCTGTGTCTAACAAGGAAGGGGTTTGCATCCAGAATACATTTTCTAAACACTCTTACAACACAATGATCAAAAGAAAATTAGTAAATCGGCAAAGAATCTGAGTAGACATTCTCCAAACTAGGTATACTGATGGCTAACAAGCACATGGAAAGATGCTTAACATTAGTTATTAGGGAAAGTTCAAGCAAAATTACAGTGAAATGCCACTTCACAAGTCCTAGGATGACTAGCGTTAAAAGGAGAAAATAACAAGTATCTATGAAGATGTGGACAAATTGGAACCTTCCTTTACTGCTGGTGGGACTTTAAAATGATGCAGGCACTCTGGAAAATATTTAGGCACGTCTTCACAATGCTCATTATAGAGTTATCACATGACCCTCGTGACTTAGCTCCTAAGTATATATGCAAGAGAAGTGAAAACAAATACCCGCCCTGAGACCTTGTACATGAGTGTTCTTACCAGCCTAATTCATAATAGTCCAACTGTGGAAACAACCCAATATTTTCTCAACTGATGAGTGACTGAAGAACATGCATGGTCTTACACATTACCATTTTTTCAGCAACAGAAAGGATTGAAATACAAGTACATGCTACAATATGGACGAATCTTTAAGTTATATTAAAATCCACTGGGTTGTACAGGTTATTTATTCATTTGTTTATTAATTATTTGTTGGGGATTCTGGTGTTAGAACTCAGGACTTGCTAGGCTAGTGTTCTACCACTTGAGTGGTGCCCACAACCTTTTTTTGCTTTAGTTATTTTTCAGATAGGGTCTTGTGTTTTTGCGTGGGGCTGGTCTCAGACCGAGATCCTCCTACTTACAGCTCACAGGCATACGCCACCCACCTGGCTCATTCCTTGAGATGGGGTTTCTCCAATGTTTTGGCAGGGCTGGCCTCAAACTGCAATCCTCGCGATCTCTGTCTCCTGGTCTCTACCTCCTGAGTAGCTGCCATTACAGGTGTGAGCTACTGCCCCCAGACCAACTGTGTGCTTCAAATAGGTGAATTTTAAGTGTGCAAATTACATCTCTATAAAGTTATTGCAAACATTGTGTGTGTGTTGGATGTGTCACTGACCATAAAAATGCTGGAATGTGTTTATTAATGCCAAAGAAATTAGTTTTCACAGAAAAAATGCAGAAATAATAGGACCATCTCATGCAAGTATGTATTCTATCTACAGTTCATAAAATTCCTGAAAGTTTTATGCATCTAATAGCAGTGTTTCAACATTCACGAGAGAATAACTGATAGAACTGAAAGGAGAAATAGACAAATGTATGAGATTCTTCAAGGTTGTTTTCTCAATAAGTTATAAAAATGAGTAGACAGTAAGTATGAAGATGGAAGATTTGACTCACACTATAAACCAAGTTGAACTAATTGAGATTTCTAAAACACACCACACAGTGAAAGCAAAACACATATTCTTTATAAGTGCACACGAAACGGGCCATGTTCTGGAGCCAAACAGAAATCAGATTAAAATGAAAAGGATCCAAATAATACAAAGTGTATTTTCTGGTTTTGCTTAATATTGTTCCATTTGTCTCCTGCACCATTTAATGCCACTATCAATGAGTCCAAACAGTAGGATGAAGCCAATGTGTAACATGAACTACAACCGTTCACCCCAGTGCCCCAGCTGACCAAATCTCATAAATAATCGACATCTACCTTAGAAAGCCAGGTGACTTTTTCCTTAAATATACACTTGGGCCAAGGAATTAGTCCAGGCATAGTTGGATACGTTATGCATAACAACCCAGATCCTGAACATGGGGGTAACAGGAATGCTCTCTAGGACCAAGGTAGTGAGCACTTGAAGGTCTCTCACAACTGATCTTTGGGGACAAATAAGTGTTTTGTGGAAGGAGGCACTTTTGGTGCCCTCCTATTGAGAAGCACATAGGCTGGGGGACACAAATTGCCTGCCTCCAAGTAAAGAATCCCTGCAGTTGAATAATTGTTTTAGAAGGACTACCTGAGGGCAGCCAATCCACCCTACCATGTTTGTCTACTCCATGAGACAGGTTGCATTTTTCTGCCGCAGGGAATGACAGATAATGGGAGTGGGAAAGAAGTCTGCAGGTGTTTTATATGGGAAATGTAGGTGCTGAAATGCTCTTCTCCTGCTCCTGAAACCTCAACATGGTTAAGGCGGAATAATGGTCAAGCATTGGCAAGAGCCCATCTGGAGGGGAATGGCAGATTGGCATTCAGCTAAGTTTAAATGAACTTGCAACAGTTTGAAAGCCACACCAGGGTATTTTTCTTGCTGAGAAAGACTCCAAGGGTAGCTTGGAAAGACAAAAGAGCAGTAATCCTCTTCTTTCTCCCCCCATATCTTCTGGATTCTAAGGTGTTCTCTCCCAAGATGCTGGGTTGCCACTCTCCTTCCACCTCTGTAAAATTTGGATATCACTTTTCCAGTCAGCTGGAACTTTTTTCCCAAGCACTCTCTACTCAAACATAGCACTTTGGCTGGTGGAGAGGCTCAAGCTGTAAGAATGCCTGCCTACCAAGCATGAGGCCCTGAGTTCAAAACTGGCACTGTCATTGTGGCAAGTCAAAGGCAAGAGAGACAAGGACAGCTTTAAATAAATAAAAAAAAAACTTAGCTAGCAAGTTCGAATTCCATAGGCCCCATTATGGTCACACATGTGAGGTATGCAAACCAGGCTGTCCAAAGGTTGCAGGGTGTGTGGGGGGGGTGTGGATATCATGAGTAGGAATGATCAGGAAGAAATCCTAATTTTTTCCAAATAAGTCTACATAACCTCTGTGTCTGTCTCCTCCTGATCCCTACCCGGGAAGCAGTCAAGAGGAGATGATCCTTTTCTTGGGACAGCACCATTCAATAACCGAGCTGCCTTGCTAAGATGGGTGAGGGAGACAGAGTCAGAAATATTTTTGAGTCAATTTTTGAGAAAGCCACATTCTGCTATTGCTGAATAATTTTTAGAGGTATGTGGGTGGTAGGACTCAAGGGAGTTCCATCAAATGTCTTTATTATTAGGCCATTGTGGAGTGGGTTTTGCAATAAAAGGGGCACCATTGGCAGAATACAAATTTTCTGGGAAGCAAAAATCATGGCATGTTAGTTTTAAAGGACCTAATGATATGCTTGGGATCAGCTGATCAGGTTGAATAGCAACTTTGTAACCTGAGCGATCACAACAGTGGTGAGACATATTTAACAGCCCCAAGAGGAGAGCAAAGACAGACACAGTCCATCCCTTAGGATAGAGTGGCTATACAACCCTATGCAATGACATTCTTCCTGCCATGTAACAGATGTGTCCATTTTTATCAAGAATCACAAAATCTGGTGCATGCAGTAGCTCCTGCATTAGATATACAAAGTTCGGCTCAATCATCCACTCGGTTACATTTAATCTCAGAGAGAATGTGCCCTTACCATCTCTATGATCTCTATGATTGATCCAGACAGTTTAGTCAGCAACCAGGACTTGTTTCCACATGTTGTAGCCCCAGAGAAGATGTCTTTAATCTGCCAGACTGCAGTTTTCCAAGTGGTGTACCGAAAGTCTGGATCATTGACATAACTCAAGAATTGACTTCTGCCCACTGAGCAGAGGAACCTTGTCCTCTTTCATTTCTGCATAGCTGGTTCCAAGGCCAAACAGTCACAGCAGCCTGTGAACACCATCCATTTTCAACTTACCTTATCCTTTGCTGGGCCA